GCGCAGGGGGCCCCCCCCCCACCCAGTGGAGCCCCCCCAGCCCGCGGGAGAAGAGGAGGAGGCTGCCGTGGGTGCTGGTGGTGAGGGTGCCCCGGGCGACCTGGCCTGACCCATGCTGTCAACCCACGAGCTCTTCACGCTGCTGGGGGAGCAGCCGCCGCAGTCCTGCCCAGGTAGAGCTGGAACCCCAGGCCCGGTGTGCCGAGCTGCAGCGCCCCATTCGAACTAGGCCCCGCAAATAACCACGCAGGCCCTGCACACACTTAGGAAAGAATCTGCCTCCTTCCAACAGCACCGGGGCTCACCCAATCACCGCCCCGTACCCGGGTCACAGCGCAGGGCGCTCAGCGTTCACCAGATCACAGAGCATGTCTAGCTCCTCACACACCGCTCCTAGAACGCCTGTGACACAACACCCGTCCGGGCACTAGCTCAGAGAGCCCTTCGCCCCAAAGGGAAGAATCGTTTGTGTCACTCCCTCGCCCCACAGCCAGTAGCGCTGGCGCTGATCAGGAAGGACTGCCGGTGGCACTCCCCTCCCCCAAGGTCTTTGCCTTTGCTCATTACACAGTCAATCTGTGGAACTCCTTGCCAGAGGATACAGTGAAGGCTAGAACCAATATTTAAAAAGGGCTCGAGAGGTGATTCCAGTAATTACAGTATAACGTCAATACCAGGCAAATTAGTTGAAACTATAATAAAGAATAAAATTGTCAGACACATAGACGAACATATTTTGTTGGGGGGAAAAGTCAACATAGTTTCTGTAAAGGGAAATCATGCCTTACTAGAGTTCTTTGAGGGGTCAACAAATATGTGGACAAGGAGGATCCACTGGCTACAGTGTACTTAGATTTCCAGAAAGCCTTTGACAAGGTCCCTCACCAAAGGCTCTTAAGCAAAGTTAAGTTGTCGTGGGATAAGAGCGAAGGTCCTTTCGTGGATTAATAACTGGTTAAAAGTCAGGAAACAAAGGGTAGGAATAAACGGTCAGTTTTCAGAATGAAGAGAGGTAATGAGTGATGTCCCCCAAGGGTCTGTCCTGGGACCAGTCCTATTCAATCTGTTTATAAATGATTTGGAGAAAGGGGTAAACAATGAGGTGGCAAAATTTGCAGATGACACCAAAGTGCTCAAGATAGTTAACACCAAAGCAGACTGTGAAGAGCTTCAGAAAGATCTCACCAAACCAAGTGATTGGGCAACTAATGACAAATGGAATTTAATGTTGAGAAATGCAAAAGTAATGCACATTGGGAAAAATAATCCCAACTATACATACAATATGATGGGGGCTAATTTAGCTACAACTACTCAAGAGAGAGATCTGAGCAACGTGAGCATGTCTACCAGCCAGGCAGTTCACAACTAGGTACTGATACTCCTAATAATAATACTAACACTCACCTAATTAGAAAATACCGGACTTTTAGATGTCCGGTATTTTCTTAATTTTTTTCCCAGACAGAATCCTCAAATACCCGACTGTCTGGTTCAAAGCCGGACACCTGGCAATCCTAGCTGACAGCCAGAGGCAGGATATACGGGGGGGAGAGAGGGAACAGCATAAGTACCCGTCCCCAATCCAAACTTTCTCCCTTCTCCTGGTGCCCCTCCCTGGGGAACAGCCTAATAACTCCCCCGTCCCCTCCTTCAAACTCCCAACCCACGCCCCAGCTCAGCTCCCACAATCAGGCCTCCTTGGGGCGTTTTGTGCAATACATGCGAGTGCAGCACGGCATTCGTGGGACACAGGTCAGCGGTCACCGAGCACGACAGGGGCTGGCTACATACTCAGCCTTTCACCGCCCCCGCCCGCCCATCCCTCCCCTGCACCCACCACAGGGCCCTTTCCAGCTACTTTGTCCTGGCCGTGGAGAAAGGCAGCAACAAAGGCTCCATTCAAGCAGCACAAGAGGCGGGAGTTGGGAGTGGGAGGGTCCGTCGGGCCCAACCGGCCCTCGGGGCCTTCGCCGCCCGGGGACTCGCACAAAGGGCGCGATTCAGAGCCAGAGTTCAGCCTCCACTGGAGCTGCTGGCTTAAAATCAGACACTTGGTGCCCCTGCCGGGGGCATTTCTGTGCGTTAACTCCCCCAGCCTGCCCCGAGGTTCTGGGCCCAGGAGAATGGCAAGGACGCTGCCCGACCACTTCTGTTTCCTCCCGGGCAAGTCCCAGCAAGCGCCAGCCACATTCCCTGCGAGAACATGCCCAGGCAGGCCCAGGTCCCTGACGTGGACAGGAGCACACACCACTTCCCTGGGGAACTGCTGTTCCAGGGTCACGGCCCGCTCGGCACAGGGCCCCCGGCAGGGGAACAGGCCCGTCAGGTTGCTCCTTTTGGTGGGACGTGCTCCAGCAGGTTTCATCATTAAAGATTCACCTCAACTACCTGGCGGCCCTCAAGGCCTTCCGGCCACAGCCCAGGAGACGTGGTCCCATTCGGCTTGGCGAGCACGTTTCTGCCGTGGCACCTCAGTAGGTCGCCAGCTGCCAGGCCTGCGAGCGCACGGGCCCCCTAGCAAGGCAGGAGCAGCCGAAGCCGCGGCAGCAGTGCAGACTGAAGCGGTAACCGGGAGCTATCTGACCAGCTGCGCCAAGCTTGCCACACACCCTGCGATCCAGCTCTCAGCAACGCCACCCTGCCCCTACCCTGCCGAGTGTGAGGCCAGAGGAGCAGCATGGCCCAGGGGGCATAGCCCACGTCCCTAGTGGGTCTCAGGGCTCAGCTGGATCCAGTGGGTTTGGAAGGGGAAGGGTTGGGTCTAGTGGCAGGTGAGATGCTCTGAGCACAGTGGCCAGGGAGCTGGGGCAGGTCCCCAGCCCCAAGAGACCAGACGCCAAACCAAATCCCTGCCGAGTGTGAGGCCAGAGGAGCAGCATGGCCCAGGGGGCATAGCCCACGTCCCTAGTGGGTCTCAGGGCTCAGCTGGATCCAGTGGGTTTGGAAGGGGAAGGGTTGGGTCTAGTGGCAGGTGAGATGCTCTGAGCACAGTGGCCAGGGAGCTGGGGCAGGTCCCCAGCCCCAAGAGACCAGACGCCAAACCAAATTAGCCCGGGCGATTTGCTTCCAAGCAGGCGTGAGGCGCTGGGGGGGAGGAGATGAGGGGGCACATCTGAACCAAACGCCATGGGCAGGAGGGGCAAGGGGTGGGCCAGCACAGGATGAGCTGAGACTGTTGCTCCACTTCCCCCACCTCTGCCAGTGAATGCGGAACGGGGGGGGTGGACCCCGCTGCTGGCATCCCACCCCAACCCCACTAGTCCCCTGGTCCGTATCGGTTGGGAGAAGATGTGGGGCGGGGGAGGAGCAAGGGCGGGAGGGGGCAAAGCAGGGCAGGAAGAGGCAGGTCTAGGGGCGGAGAGGTTTTGTCCTGGCCTTTCCCTGGGCAGGGGGAGGTCATGTGGATTGTGGCCCCGTGGGCCTTCCCACAGTCTCCTGCTTCCAAGCCAGACCACGCCGAGCCCTTCGCCAGTGCCTGCCCCTCCTGCCCACGTACCCTCATGGTGCTCCCCGCCGGCGCTGCGGGCCAGAGGGACCACGAGGCACCAAGGGGAGCCTGGTGGGTGGGAGGGAGGAAATTTCCGATTCAGCCGCACGGCACTAAGGAGGGTCCCCACTCAGAGCTCTCCCTTGTCTTAGCCCCGACCAGGCAAATAACGGAGCATTCCTTCCCTGGCAATTCCGAAAAACGGGGCTTTAGCGTCATTTGGGTCACATGGAAAACAAGCGTTTTCGGCCAATCAAGAAGTCGTGAAAAAACGGCTGGGGGCTGAACGAGGAAACATGGCGGTTCCACTCCGAGCACTTTCCCGCCCCCAGACACCACCCCCAGCCCCTATTCAATGCGCAAAGTTCAACGGCTTCCTTTCGAAAATGTCCAACCAAAAAGTTTTGACTTTTTTTTTTCAGTGTGTTCCCCTCCCCTCCTCAGTGCAAACACTTGGGGGAAATCAACCGGAGTCCAGGGAACAGTTTAGTCAACATCCCTCTGAACGGTTTGGGGGGTTTTTTGCTTTTTGGAAAAAAGATGTTTCACAAGAAAAGTTTTGCCCAGCTCCAGCAGCGACCCTCCCCCACAGCACACACGACTTCTCCCTGAGCACACAGCTGAGTGGGAGTGGCACACGATCCCCCCCATCAGCAGGACAGGACCGGCTGCCCACACCTACCCTCTCGCTGATGGCGTTGTATTTGATGGCCAGCTCATCGCGCTCGGCCCGGCTCTGCGCCAGCAGGTCTTCCACACGGGACAGCTCCTGCTGCAGGATGCGGTTCTCCTCCTGGAGGGAGAGAAGCGACATCTCCCCAGGACAGGCTGCTGTGGGAGAAGAGGGAGAGCCGTAGCAAAGGCATCAGTGCCAGCTGGGGGCACCCACCCCAGAGCCACAGGGAGGCGGCTGGCTAGAGATGAGGCTGGCCCTGTGACTTTCCTACCAGGGGTCAGATCACCCCGGGTTAAGGCCTTGCTAACAGCCATGACACCGACAATACCGGGGACGCACTGCGGGGTGACCACATGCGCTCCCCGAGACGCGCTCGTCAGTGCCACAGAGCAAGGGGGGGGGCCAACCCAGCCTGCCCCCTCCCTACCCAGCCTGGGCCAGCCACGCAGCAGGGATTTCAAGGGAGCCCTTAGCCACGAGGCCATGCCGAACGGCAGCAGGAGACGGGGGCCCTTTGCGGCAAGACACGGGCAGGACGGCATCCGAAGCAGGCTCTCCACAGACCCCGCGGGGGGATAGTAACCGAGGGACCCGGCAGCCGTAGCCCTTAGCTCCAAGTGCTCCCTGGGCTGCACTGCTCTGCTGCCGAATTCAGCGAGGGCCTTCGGCGGGGGACAGCCTGTCAGGGCCCAGGCCCCGGCGCTGGCTTTGCTGGCCCCGCTCGCCCCTGGTTGGGTGAGCAAGGGAGGGAGAGGCACAAGCCTGGACACGCACCAGCGCTGCACACGCAACCTGGCAACATCCCCCTGTGCGAATTTGGCTGGCCTGCGTGGGTCCAGGCAGGTCACTGCACCCTGGGGGCCCAGGCTCTGCGCGCTGCCACTGCATGTCCCAAAGTGGGGGGGGATAGGGCAGAACTGCTGGGCCCTTGGTCAAGGTGGGCGGAGCCTCAGGCCAAAGAGGCGGGGCCTCAGGCCAAAGAGGCGGGACTGGGGCAGGGCACCTCTTGGACCATACCATGTCCCAGCCAGCACTGAGCACCACTCAGAGTGCACCACCCGGGCTCCAGTGGCAATTTACAGGGCCCGGAGCTCCAGCTGCCAACACTGCTGTGGGAGTGGTGGGTGGGAGCCCTGGGCCCTTTT